CCCCCCGATTTGGAGAATGGCCGAGGATCTTTGCAGTTCCTTAGGAAGTCGATCTGAGTGGAGAGGAAGCCGATCTTGATTGTAGACGCTCACCTTTCCAAGCGGGGCGGATGGAACGAGGGCTGATTGTTGGAGAGTCGAGCAGGCCAACTCACAACCGATCTTTCCCACAATTTGGGGGCGTGGGTGTAGATTGAGGCTCTCCGACGTCCCCTCGCTTTACTGCAGGCATGACAAACTTGTGACGTCGTGCGACGTATCGCGGCTTTTCCCCCCATTGCTGGCAATGGGGTGGGCGCGGTTTCGCCGTGATGCATCCGGCCCGCGGACCGGCAGTCTTGACATGCCTGCTATACTGTCTCCACTCGCCCGCAGATTTGGGGCTGTTCAGCACGAAGACTCTGGTGGAGGCGAGCGGCGAGCACGCCGTGGAGGTCCGCACGCAAGTCCAGCAGCCGTCCGACGAGAACTGGGACCTCTCGGGCACCAAGCAGGTGTGGCCGTGCGAGAGCAGCCGGTCGCACACCACAATCGCCAAGTACGCCCAGTACCAAGCGGCCTCGTTCCAGGAGTCGCTTCAGGTGAGATCGCCAAGCTTGGTCCGTCCATCCCGTCACCCCGGACCAGGCGGGATTCCTGACCCCCGTAAGGGCCGCACGTAGAACGCCCTTGTTTAACTCATGGGTGGGAGGTCTCCGTCGTGACTCCTCTCTCTGTTGACGCAGGAGGACAAAGAGACCGACGACGAGGAGGCCGAGGAACCGGACAGCACCACCGAGACGCCGCCCAGGTAGAGTACTCCTGCCTCCGCCTGTTCGTCGGGTGACCTTTGTTTTGGACACGAAAGGAGAATATTTGCAGGTTAAAAATGAGGGATTCTTCGTGCTCGCTGAGCTTGGTTGTTTCCTTGCAGAGATTTCATGACCCAACTACGTAACATCGTCAGTGCTGGAAGGGAGTGGGGTTTGTGGAGAGCAGGAGGAGGACTGTGGGGTCCTTGGTGCTCTCTGACCTGGGTTGATTTCTTGCAGACGTTTCATGACCCAGCTAGGTAGCATCATCAGTGCCCTAAGGCACACTGGCTGAGGAATTCTGGGAGTTGAAGTCCACAAGTCATCAAAGGGCCAAGTTTGAAGACCCCTGCTTGTGGTCTTCAACTCCCAGAATTCCTCAGCCAGGCATGCTGGCTGAGTAATTCTGGGAGTTAAAATCCACAAGTCATCAAAGGGTCATAGTTCCCTCATGCTGGCCGAGGAATTCTGGGAGTTGAAGTCCACAAGTCATCAAAGGGCCATAGTTCCCTCACGCTGGCTGAGGAATTCTGGGAGTTGAAGTCCACGAGTCATCAAAGGGCCATAGTTCCCTCACGCTGGCTGAGGAATTCTGGGAGTTGAAGTCCACAAGTCACCAAAGGGCCAAGTTTGAAGACCCTTGTTTTAGGGTCTGTTGTGGTCGTAAATCCAGGACGGCCTCGTATTCTTCAGGTTTGGAAAGGGTTTTTTTGCTAGAAGCCGGACATGAGTTCGAATAAGAGTGAGGGAGGGTTTTGCTGGCTTGCGAACGGAGGACCTGGGGAAGCACAGGATGCTCTGTGTGTGTCTGTGTGTGTGTGTCACATTGTCCTCTCTGCTGGGTGGCGGGTGTGGGGGAGGAAGAATTGGGACCTTAATGCTTCCTCCATCTGGTCCAGCCGATTTTTCCGTTTTCCCGTCGTCACTTTTCCGTTTCTTGTTCTCGCCCGCAGCAACCCGGATCAGAAGCCCCACCAAATAATCAAGTTTGGAACCAACATTGACCTCTCGGACACCAAGCGGTGAGGATCATCGAGGGAGGGGGGGGGATCATGCACCCTCCCCCCGGAGTGACAGTTTCCCCCCCTCCCCTCTCTTCGCCCCTCCCTCCCCAATTTCCACTTCCTGCGTGGGTTGGTTGCCCTTTGCAACTAGCAGCAAAAGGGAATTTATTTTTATTATTATTATTTTTGCCTAAGATCTGCTTGTTTGGGCTGCCCCCTTCGGGTTCAGACCTGTCACTGCATGCAAAAGAGCTTGTTTCCTAGAGCGGCCTCCGTGCGGCTGGGCTGCTTCATCCCAGCCCTTTGCGCCACCACCCCCCCCGGTGGGCACTCGTGGAACTGCAGCAAGGCCATTTCCCCCCTTCCTCAATCCTATGGCAAAGCACTATTGTGTCTCTCTGTTGCCCCCTGGTGGTGGTGCATGGGAATTTCAGGAAGAAGGGGCTCTTGGGGGGGTAGGTTGTCTCCTGGTGGCCAGAAGCCATCATTGCCATTGAAAAGACTTCAAAGGGCAGAAAGGGGCAACTGTGGACTTCAACTCCCAGAATTCCTGAGCCAGCTGTGCCAGTTCTCCCTAAGTCCTGGCTAGCAGGGGCAGTGATTTTTCCCAGAATGCCTAGCCACGTCATAGTTCCCTCACGCTGGCTGAGGAACGCTGGGAGTTGAAGTCCACAAGTCATCAAAGGGTCATAGTTCCCTCACGCCGGCAGAGGAATTCTGGGAGTTGAAGTCCACAAGTTATAAAAGGGTCATAGTTCCCTCACGGTGGCTGAGGAATTCTGGGAGTTGAAGTCCACCAGTCACAAAAGGGATATAGTTCCCTCACGCCGGCTGAGGAATTCTGGGAGTTGAAGTCCACAAGTCATAAAAGAGCCAAGGTTGCCTACCCCTGGCCTAGCCCTGCCTGCAGTAGTACAAATAGTCCTCTACTTACGACCAGACTGCTTGGCAACTGACTCGTATTTACGACCGTCGCAGCGTCTCCCTGCGACCTTCTGACCTTCTAAGTCAGATTCACTTAACCACCATGTTACTATTATAACTGCAGGGGTTCACTTAACAGCTGTACTGAGAAAGGTTGTAAAAATGGGGCAAAACTCACTTAGCCGATGTCTCGCTTAGCGACGGGAATTTTGGGGTCAATTATACTGCTGTTGGGGGGCAGGCTCCCTTATGGCTGTAACTTCGAGGACCCCCCCTCTAAAGGGTCAGACTAGTTGGCCTCCCAGTCCCCCCCCCCCGGAGCGTGGGTGACCCGTTTGTTTCTCTGACGTGGCCCAGGTGGAAACCGCAGCTGCAGGAGTTACTGAAGCTGCCCGCCTTCATGCGTGTCACGTCGACGGGGAACATGTTGAGTCACGTGGGCCACACCATCCTGGGCATGAACACGGTGCAACTCTACATGAAGGTCCCCGGCAGCCGTACCCCAGGTGAGACCCCCCCCTTCTCTGCTTGGCCTGAGCACATTGCAGTGGAGCCTCCATAACTGAGCACACTCTACCTTTGAACGCCAGCTGGGGAGGGAGGGAGGGAAAAGCTGCCAACCCTTGTCTTGCTTGGAGGCTCCGCTGAAGCCGCTGGTTGGCTGCTTTGGGAACAGGATGATGGGCACTAGGAACAGGATGATGGGCAATAGGAACCAGTGGAACTACTTGCCTCCAGAAGCAGTGAATGCTCCAACACTGGAAGTTTTTAAGAAGAGACTGGACAGCCATTTGTCCGAAACGGTATAGGGTTTCCTGCCTGAACAGGGGGTTGGACTAGATGACCTCCAGGGTCCCTTCCAACTTTATGATTATGATTATCTGTCTAAAATGGAATAGGGTTTCCTGCCTGAGCAGGGGGTTGGACTAGATGACCTCCAAGGTCCCTTTCCAACTTTATGATGATGATGATGATGATGATGATGATGATGATGATGATGATTATTGTCTGAAATGGAATAGGGTTTCCTGCCTGAGCAGGGGGTTGGACTGGATGACCTCCAAGATCCCTTCCAACTTTTTTATTATTATTATTATTATTATTATTATTATTATTATTATTATTATTATTATTATTATTATTATTATTCCAGTTGCTTCCTGGAAAAGCATCTCTGGGACTTGTGGACTTCAGCTCCCAGAATTCCTCAGCCGGCTGAGGAATTCTGGGAGTTGAAGTCCACAGGTCTTCAAAGTGGCCAAATTTGGAGACCCCCTAGCATTAGAAACCTGGAGCTTCTGGATTCTGCTGTCACGTCCTTCTGCTGCCAGTCCTTCCGCTGGGGTCTTCCAGGGACCTTCCTGTCTCTCGAAGAGACCCCGCTTGGGGGGAAATGGAGACCAGGAGACCCCCACGCCGAGCTGCTAACTCTGTGGCTCCTTTGCAGGTCACCAGGAGAACAATAACTTCTGCTCCGTGAACATCAACATTGGACCCGGGGACTGCGAGTGGTTTGCCGTCCACGAACATTACTGGCAGAACATCAGCGCCTTCTGTGACAGGTAGGGCTCCTGGGGGAAACCTGGAAGGATCTCCTCAGACTTAGAAGCACGGAGACCTTGGCCAGAGAGAGAAGGAAGAAGGTGATGGAGAGAACCTTCTGAGGAGCAGCGAGGGGAGAGGAAGGTCCCACGCAAGCTCCATGGGGTTGAGTCAAGAGCTTCTTCTGACAGGGAAGGGATCCCTGACTGCCCAACGGCCTCAATCTGACTTTCCTTGCAGGCACGGGGTAGATTATCTGACCGGGTCCTGGTGGCCCATCTTAGAAGATCTCTACCAATCCAACATCCCCGTCTACCGCTTCATCCAGCGTCCGGGAGACCTGGTGTGGATCAACGCTGGGACCGTACACTGGGTCCAGGCCACTGGATGGTGCAATAACATCGCTTGGAACGTCGGTCCCCTGACAGGTAGGACGAGGGACGGGCTGGAGAAGGAGGACTGTTGTCCTACCTGGAGTGGACTCCCAAAGTAGACGGTTGACCTGCTAGCTTTTGAGGATAGGAGCTTTGGCCATACATGGCCTTTGAAACTGACCGTGTCCCCCCTTCCAAGCCAGAAGAGTGCCTGGTGCATCTCAGGGGGCTTTAGAAGGTCAAGTGCTCCTCAAGACGGGATCCATTTCAGTAGGGCGTTCTTGACAGAGGGCCACCCTGCCTCGGTTGGGATTTCATGACCTTCTCAATGAAGGAGGACTCGGCCCATTGTGAGACAGTTTGTCCAGCTGATCATACGTTCAGGAAGTTCCTCCGGAGACAACCTCATTTCTTGTAGCTTCAACCCAACGGTGGTGGATCCTACTTTCTGGGACAGGGGTCTTCCAACTTGGCCCTTTCATGACTTGTGGACTTCAACTCCCAGAATTCCTCAGCCAGGCACACTGTCATCAAAGGGCCAAGTTTAAAGACCCCTGCTTGTGGACTTCAACTCCCAGAATTCCTCAGCCAGGCACCCTGGCTGAGGAATTCTGGGAATTGAAGTCCACAAGTCATCAAAGGGTCATAGTTCCCTCACGCTGGCTCAGGAATTCTGGGAGTTGAAGTCCACCAGTCACCAAAGGGCCAAGTTTGAAGAGCCCTGCTTGTGGATTTCAACTCCCAGAATTCCTCAGCCAGGCACCCTGGCTGAGGAATTCTGGGAGTTGAAGTCCACAAGTCATCAAAGGGTCCTAGTTCCTTCACGCTGGCTGAGGAATTCTGGGAGTTGAAGTCCACAAGTCATAAAAGGGCCATAGTTTCCCTCACGCCGGCTGAGGAATTCTGGGAGTTGAAGTCCACAAGTCATAAAAGGGTCCTAGTACCCTCACCCTGGCTGAGGAATTCTAGGAGTTGAAGTCCACCAGTCATTAAAGAGTCATAGTTCCCTCACGCTGGCTGAGGAATTCTGGGAATTGAAGTCCACCAGTCACCAAAAGGCCAAGTTTTAAGACCGCTGCAGGCCCCTCCCTCCTTGCTTGGGCCAACCCCGTAGAGCAGTCTTTCCCAAGTGTCAAGCACTTCCATTTAAATTTAATTTATCTGAATCTTTCCTTTAAAAAAAAGTGTGGCGCCCACAACCGGACGCCACCCTTTCCTCTTGTGATGAACAAAAACACAAGGTGGACTTTCCGCGTCCACTAATTCCGGAGACCTGGAATTTGCCGTGGATTTGTGGACCCGCCAACCGACCTTTGTCCTCCCCAGCGTACCAGTACCAGCTGGCGCTCGAGCGCTACGAGTGGAATGAGGTGAAGAACGTCAAGTCCATCGTGCCCATGATCCACGTCTCCTGGAACGTCGCCCGCACGGTCAAGATCAGCGACTCCGACTTGTACAAGATGATCAAGTGAGCGGGTTTTACTCTTGACCGCGCCCCGCGTGCGCCAAAACCGGCCTTCCCTGTCCTAGGACGGGTAGTCCTCGACTTACGGCCACGATCGCGCCCCGAATTTACGCGGCTCAGTGAGAAATGCATTACGTTGGAGTTTTGTCCCGTTTTTACGACTTCTCCCGCCAGTTGTTAAGTCGAGCACAGCAGCGGTTCAGTTAGCAACACCGTTGTTAAACGAATCCGGATTTCCCCCTCGACTTGGCTGATCAGAGGGTCACAAATGGGGGGGAGGATCGCGTGAACTCCCTGGGACTCTGCGACCGTCGTAAATAACGAACCCGTTGACAAGCCTCCGAATTTTGATCACGTGACCGCGGGAGATGACACAACGGTCATTAAGTGTGACAAACAGGTCCTAAAATCCCTTTTTTCAGTGCCGCTGTATTTATTTATTTATTTTATTTTATTTATATTTGGATTTATATCCCGCCCTTCTCCTT